TAAACCTCATTCCTATCGTTTCTTAACCTAATTAGATACTTGTCCGATTTATTTCCGATCCTTCCAAGCGATTACCTCACTAAGCGAATAAGATCTTTTCCTCCTTTCCTCCCGACGGCCCTGGAGCTGAGCATATTCGGCAAATAGGAGGAACGGAGGATTTATTTTGCCGACACACAGCACGTCAACACCGGAACTAGAACGCCAACTCTTCCAACCGTTAGTCAGAACCGCGCGTCTGACTAAATACCGTATTTATTCGCGTGATAAATAGTACCTGCCGAAATCCAGAACCGGGAAGAGTTGAGCCGTATCGTTACATATATAATATTGACCTCACGAATTATTTACCTGTTCCGAGTTAGAGGCTTCTTTATTGCTGTTCTCACGTTTTTCTAAAGCAAGTTTAACTTCTTTATTACTTGCATGGTTTCGTTTTATGTGATTTATTAAATTAGTTGTACCGCCACCTTTTCCACCGGACTTCACTCCTCTATTACAAATTATGCACGTAGCATCTCTTTTATCAGATGTTTTAAAAAATTTCCACACAAAAGATTTTGTTTTAGGCACTATAAAAGCATATTTTTATGATAAAATGCAAATAGTGAAAAAAATATATTCTGTTTTGTGAAAATGTGAATAAAAAGGAACAAAAGAAAAAGGAAAAGAAAAATAATTAAAAAGATTAGCTTAGGTTAGGTTAGTTGAAATATAACATTTGTTTGACACTACAATACTTAAAAAATTATACTTCAAGCATTAGCAATAAGCAAATATACCCACTTTTGTACTGTTTTTTTCAGTGTAACGGGTCCGTCACCAAGAATATTTAAATTGTAACATGTATATTGTAACAAGGCACAGGAAACATAACAAACATGCTGCGAGAAAGAGGTAAGACATTCAATGTGTGTTATAAAATGAAAAGAAAACCATAAAATGTAAAAGTATTATGCAAATAAAACAAAAGTCATTGTGCAATAAATGTTTATAGCTTTGTACTACTCACGAATGTCGGCTAGTGAACTTTATACAGCCACGAGAAACCAATTTTCTTTAGGTGGGTGAATGAGTCGAACAGGCAAATTCCCTGTGTGTTGAATTTCTCCTTCTCTGCGAATGTAAATATCATAGGATTTTATTAGCACGTTATAGACGTCATATGTGTTGCACGTTACAGATAAATTTTGTACGCTTACCTAATCTTATCTCCTTCCCTCCGGATGAGGCCTCGGCACGTACAAAATTATTATTCACATTCATAATCAGTGAGGATTACGGATTATATTACCACGACCGTACTACACTGGACGCGAAGAACGACAAGCGACGCGCGACGCGCGATATCCAATAGGCGTGGAGTCTTTATAGAAAAACTGTACACTTATTGGATAATCGCGCGGCGCGCATCGCGTTGTCGCACTTGTCTGCTGAAGCCATTAAGCCTATTACACAATGCCAGGCAACAGGCAATAGGAATAGAGAATAGAATTTTCGACGCGTTGGATTCGTCGGAAATTTTCTTCCCTAAATTCTATTCCCTATTCCTATTGCCTGTTGCCTGGCAATGTGTGATAGGCTTGAATGAAATTAATTAATATCTAGTGACTTTAGGATTTCCACAAATCAGTAAAACCAATCAGGATGCAGCTTTAAGTCACCGGATCTAAAATTCTGCATCCTTATTGGTTTTCGTAAGCAATCCAGTAGAAAAACTAGTATTGTGCCGTTGGCTTAAGTTATTTTTCGATTCAATTCTAGGGGTAAAGAACCGATTCACCCAAAAATCGACCAGTGAAGAATCGATTCAAAAAATCGATTTTTCCACCAAAATAATCGATTTTTAAAAGAATCGAATCGGAATCGAACATCCCTAGGGAGCGGCCATTCGAGTTCCGCCTTTCGTGTAGTGCGCTGCTTTTTGACGGCTTATTCGGATCGGGATATTGCGCATTTTGGGCGGTGATCGTGCCCTAGGCAGCGATCATGTATTTTCAAGCGGAATTTTTCACTTTTCACTTTTCACTCAGTGATTTCACGCGACCTTTTTCACGAATCACGGTGCGATCATATAGTTAAAAATGCGTGAAAAGTGAAATTACCAAAAGCGAAGACTAACCTATAGATTAAAAATTACTAATATTACTAGATTTGTAAATCACGAATTCTCGACATTTGAAAAGTCATTTATAGACAGTAAACGGATAAACGTGCAATAACAATGAACGTAACAAGCAAACAGAAAGAAATGTTATTACAATTTCTGAAGAAAAACCCTGATGTGGTAAGAGGTCGAATAAACAGAAAAGCGGAAAGTCGACGAAAAATGGTAAGTTGAAAGAGAATATTATATAGATAGAAAATTAGTAAAAGCAACGTAATATAACACAATTTTTAGGTTGAAATTTGGGATAAAATCGCGGATATCATTAACGCAGCTGCAGTAGGACCCCGAAAAGGTGGGAAAGAATGGGCAAAGGTTTGATATCATACTTATTATGTTATATTAATCTTTTAGCATTTAATTAAAACCATAACCTATTCTAACTTACAATAAATGAAGATAAAAGATAAAATTAAGTTGATGATATCCTATATAATCTTGTAGACATGGAAAGATATGAAAGCTTATATATTAAAAAAGAATCAAAACGACGCAGTCATATGGAAGGAACAGGAGGTGGTCCTCCTTCTACAATAGTTTTCTCCAACTTCGAGGAAGAAGTTTTAGAACTTTTGACCTGAAGCAGCTGGTTTATTAAATATCCCTGAAGGTGGTATAAATATTGCACCAGCAGCACCTTTACTAAATATTCCTGACGGTGATGATATGAACATTGAAGCACCTTTACAAAATATTCCTGACGGTGATGATATGAACATTGAAGCACCTTTACAAAATATTCCTGAAGGTGGTATAAATATTGAAGGATGTATTTTAAATTTCCCTAAAGATGAAATAAGTATTGACGAATCTGCATTAAATGAGTATGAAAGAGATACAGAAGAAATGGCTCAAATTGAACCACAGGGTGAACTATTTGACAAAGAAATTAATAATGTAGAAAATGCAAATGCATCATCAAATATATTAAAACATCAAAAAGAAAAAAGTATTAATAAATACGCAAGAAATATAGCAGCTGAAAACATAAACAGGAAAACAAAAGGTAATAATTAAGATAAATTGTATGAAGAACATCATAAATTGCTTTTTAATGCTTCATAACAAACTTTGATTAATTGATAAATGTTCAATTTCAGAAAATTCAAGGAATGAATTATCTCATAACATGTTAAAAATACAGCAAAAGAAATACAAACTTAAAAAAAGGCAACTAAAGCTTATGAAAACAGCGTTAAATATGCAGCATGAAATATTAAGTGAACTTAAAAATATAAAATTATCTATACAATCATGGGAATCACTTGAAACACTTTAAACATACTTAAGCACTTCGTCATCGAATAATGAACCAAATTTTCGTTAAAACCTGTACTTCATTATATAGCTTGAAACGATCGCCTAATCGTTGTCCCCGCGGACTATGCTCGCCGGTGGCAGGGTTCGAGGGATTAGGGGGAAAGCACTCGAAACAGAGTTACGGTAAATTAAAGCAAACTATATTTGAATAAAGAACACGTGGATACAAGGTATAAGTGCTTAAAGCTAAGAGCGGTCGCGGATGGACGGACGGACGGACGCGGCGTGAGATGCAATGAGAGTATTTACAGTGGTGCGATGAAATGACAATATGTACAGGGTGACGCGCGGTGAGATGAACGTGGGAGGCGAGTGCAGATGAAACGCGGGTGGCGGTTCGCGGCGCGGTGAGCGCGGACCGTGACGGCGGTGGATGACGGTTCGCGGCGCGGGAATCGGTCGCGGGTGGCGCGGTGCCGAGACAGGAATCGGCTGGCTGCAGCGGGTGCCGAGAAAACTCGGCGGAAGCGGAGTACCCTCCACTTCCCTGGTCCCTGTGAGCCGTCGGCCGATCTGCGGTCAGGTGGTTGTACCCGGGCCCGAGAATCCTCGGTCGAGGCGGAGAGCGCTCCACCCCGTGTGTGTCCGGGCACGGTGTGCAGGTGAGCACGCGTGCGCAGTGCCGAGAAAGCTCGGCCGTGCCGGAGTACTCTCCAACGCGGGTTTCCCACTGCTTTAGCGTGTGACAGGAATCAGGTTCTGAGACTTGCGGATGAGCGGCTGTTGCTCGGAAGCTCGTCTCCAAAGGAGTGCTTTTTAGCGCTCGTTTTCCCCTTTTTATAGGGGCTAATTGTCACGCTTCATTAGCCCCTCTCGGGGTTGCGCGTGCGTAGCGGCGCGCGTTGCTCGCTCGGGCCTGGTCGTCGATCTCCGGGGCCGTTCGTGGCCCCAGCTGATCGGCGCGTTCGCTCGCGGCCGCGACGCGCGTTCGGCCCCGCTCGGCGGTCTCCGGGGCCGTTCGTGGCCCCGGCCGAGCGGGTCGGCACGCCGGTGTGTCGTGCGTTTATGCGGCGCTATGCGCCCGCGTCTCGCCCGACGGGTGTTCGGTCGGGCGGCATCCGGCGGGTGGAATGCCGGGAACGGTGCAACGGGGGGTGCATCGTTACAAGCTATTTTGTTTTGTTACTTGGGTCCGAATTCATAGACGTTTCTCAGCTTTCAAGATCAGTCTATCTTTGTCTCGCGTATGATAAAACGTAGTAGACGAGACAAAAACAGACTGATCTTGAGAGCCGAGAAAAGTTTGTGAATTCATCATGTAATATCGTACTTGCGTGTCTACTAGTATAACATATTTTATTTTATTGTGTCAATATTTTTTTGTTTCGTTATTATGTTGTTGCAATATTTTAATTTCATTCATAAGATCCCATATCTGCTCGTCCTTCTCGCGTAAGGTGAACTGTGAATTCTTTGCTTTCAACATGTGGTCATCAATCTCCGAGGAGAGAACGGCTGCGATTTCCTGATTGTTCCTAATAAATTAGAAACACACACTATATTAAACAATTCTTCTCGTAATATCCAAATTATAAATATGTATCTATATATGTATATTAAACAATACAAATGTAAATCTTAAACATAATTAAAAGCAAATATATATATATTTATTTATAATTATTGTAAATATAAAATAAGTATCGTTAATAGCAAAACATACATACTTATATTTATAAATATACGTATTTATTTGCAATTGACGATACTTATCTTATAATATATTTACAATGATTATACATTTTGAATTAAAAATACATACGCCTCACTTACTACGCTTGGCTCTTCTTGGCTCAATGTGTGTTCCAAAAAATATTTTTATGTAAAATATTGTTGTATTAATGTTTCTCGAACAGCATTCCCTCTTGCACGCATATTAGCATTAATCTCTATCTCTTCAACCTCTATATCGTCTTCTCTATATATTTCATTGTCTGCAACATTATACTACTTCACTGTTAGAAGCAGTGTGTGAATATCACACACTTTATCGCGTGTGATGTGTGTCCGCCGTTTCAAGACGTCTGTAAGTGCGTGACTTTTTCATGCACGAATGGATGTTTCATTTTATTGGCGTGTGTGACTTTTCACACAAATGGAGGTGTATAACTTATTTAGGTGTGTAATTTTCAAGGTGTCAATAAATGTGTAAAAAAGATTGCACTACATTGCAAATCCAAGTGTTTTACTATTATACACATATGTAATTTGGTGAAAGCACTTTTTACACGTTTCTTGCCGTTTAAAACAACTAATTACATTATATGATGCGATCCAAGTGGGAGGTTAGATTAGGTTGGGTTAGGTTAGGGAAACGGGGACT